CCACCGCTAGTTGTCCACCCCCAGCCAGTCCCGTCGGCCGTCGTCCTGGCGACAGGAAAAGATCACCCGGACCAAGGAGGAAGCCCTGGAGCTGATCAACGGTGAGCAGAGTGGACGACGGGGTCACGGGAGGGGAGCCTTTCCCAGCTGGGCCACGCCCTCCCACTCCGCAGTCAGGCAGGGCCTGGGCAGACCCGGGGGTTGCCTGCATAGGTGTGATGCCGGCCTAGCGACAGCTCTCTGTTTTTTTCTTCTTTTTTTTTCCCCCTCTTTTAAAAAATATTTTATTGGGACTAGCAGTTAGTGTAATGGCTAGGTCGCTGGACTCCCACATAGTCGACAACGGTTCGAGTCCCAGACCCGGCGGCTTAAACTCATGCCGGGCACGTGTGCGTGCATGCCCAAGATCCCGAGAGGAGAATGGAGGAGAAGGGATTGCAGCATGCCCATCCCTCCTCGGGGGTGATTTCTCACCTTCTCTCTCTCTGGCGAGCGTATGCACGCTAAGGTAAAAACCTCTTAAAAAAAGAAAAAATAGTACTATCAAGCATATCACATCGTGGGTCTGGAGGAAAGTCAGAATGGCAGTGAGCCCCAGGCTCGCCGACAACGTTGGTGAGCTAGTTCTGACCCCAGAGGAGGAGCTATCCGCGGCTTTGTTCTGTTCGCTCCACCATCAAGCGCAGAAGGGGTGATATTTTTCTTTAAAGGTCGGAAGGTAAGTTTAGGTCAAGTTTAGTGGGCCCACGATCTGTCAGCCTTGCTTTGTAGCTTGACAGCAGACGTCAACATGATGTGAGCATGAGGTGGTGGCCCTGTGCCAATAAGACCATATTTACAAACCACCAGCAGGTGGCGTCGTGGTTATGGTGCTGGACTCCCACGGGATGGACTGCAGTTCAAGTCCCAGGCCCTGTGGCTTGAAACTACAGTGGTCGCATGTGCGTGCATACCGAAAATCCCGAGAAGAGAATGGAGGAGGGATTGCAGCATGGCCATCCCCCCAAGGGGGTGATTTCCCACTTTCCTGCTCTCTCTGTCTCTCTCTCTCTCTCTCTCTGGAGAGCACACACATTCTAAAGCAAAAAAAAAAAAAGAAAGAAAAAAATCTAAGAAAAAGAAAACATGTCCATTCTTCTAGAAAGTTCTAGCAGACAGTGCTGTCTGGATCTCATGTGTAAGGGTTCTTCATTCTCTCCTGCCAGAGATCCTGGGTGCATGCATGTATGAGCACCTTGGCAGGGTGTAGGTGGACCCAGACCCAAATCCAATCTTCATCTTCATATGGCTTCCAGCCGTGCATAGCTTTTTTTTTTTTTTTTAAGAGAGAGATTTTTTGCTGTAGAGTGCATGTGCTTGCTGGAGAGACAGAGACAGAGAGACAGAAAGTAAGACGTCACCCTCCCAGGGAATGACCATACCACAATCCCTTCTCTATTGTCCTCTTGGGATTTTGGGCACACATGCCCGCATGAGTTTTTTAAACTGGTTTTAAGAATTATTTATTTGATTTTATTTATTTATTATTATTATTCGATTTTACCAGGGAAAGAAAGTAAACAAAAGAGACAGATAAAGCAAGCTGCCAAGTCCGGGACTCAAACTGTGATTGGTCATGTGGGAATCCAGGGCCTCAACCACCACACCATCTGCTGGCCCCTGTACCCAGCATGAGTTTTTTGTTTTTCTTTTTTAATACTTTTTTTAACTTCATTTATTTATTTTAATTTGATCAGAGAGGTACAGAGTGAGAGAGAGAAAGTGAGAAAGCAAGCCGCCAGGTCCAGGACTCAAACTGCCATTGGTCATGTAGGAGTCCAGCTCCTTCAAACACCATGCCACCTGTGTACCCCCTAGCATGAGTTCTAACGGGTCCAGGACTTACTTGAACCACGGTCGAGTACATGGGAGTCCAGTGATGTAACCATTATGCCATTTGCTGAGCCTTTTTATTTTTATTTTTATTTTTTTAGGTTTTTGTCTTAGGGTGCATGCACTCACTAGAGAGAGACAGAGAAGGAAAGTGAAGTGAGGAATCATCCCCCCAGGGGTATGGCCATGCCACAATCCCGTCTCCTCCATTCTCCTCTTGAGACTTTGGGCACACATGCACATGGGCCTGGCATGATATTCAAACTGCTGCATCTTGGGCTCGAACCACGGTTGACCATGTGTGAGTTCCAGTCCTGGACCTGACAGCTTGAAAAACATGCTGGGTGCGTGTGCATGTGTGCCCCAAAATCCCAAGAAAAAAATGAAGGAGCATGGATTATGGCATGGCCATCTTCCCAGGGGGCGATTTCTCATCTTTTCTCTCTGTCTCTCTCCGGCAAGTGCATGCTCCCTGTGGCAAAAACCTTATTATTATTATTATTTTTAATCAGGCCAGCAGGTGGCGCCCAGCATGTGAATCCCACACGCACAGTTTCAGTCCTGGACACCTTGGCTTGAAAAACACACTAGGTGCATGTGTTTGTATGCCCAGAATCCCTGAAGGAGAATGAAGGAAAGAGAACTGTGGCAAGGCCATCTCCCCTGGGAGGCACCATCTCACAGTCCCTCTGTCTGTCTCTCTTAAGCAAACACATGTGTCCTACAGTAAAAAACTATTTTTTTTAAAAAAGGGGGAAGGAGGGACAGTATAACAGTTGCTACAACTGCCTTTTCAGTGCATGAATACAATGTGTAAAGGTAGTATCAGGGAAATGAATGTATCTACTGTTTCAACACTTGGAACATTGTATACAGTAAGTGGTGTTATCGGGGATTGTCCCCATCAGGACTTTATGACACTGGACATTGTTTCTTTCCTCTGCAATTTTGTTTCGGAGAGGTTTTTGCTATAGAGACTAAGGGGGCTTGAAAGACAGAGAGAGACAGAAAGCGAGGAATCCCCCCCAGGGGGCATGGCCACACCGTAATCTCTTCTCTCCGGATCTTGGGAACGCACACACAAGCGCCCAGCATGACTTTAAGCCACCAGGTCTGGGGCTCGAACCGCAGTCGGCTACATGGGAGTCCAGCGACATAGCCATTACACCAACTGCTGGTCCCAAATTTTAAGAATTATTTTAGGGACCAGCAGGTGGTGTGGTGGTTAAAGCGCTGGACACTCCCGCATGGCTAACCGCAGTTCAAGTCCTGGACCTGCTAGCTTGCTTTCTCACTGTGTCTCTCTGGTCAAATTAAAATAAATGAATGAATCAATAAAATAAAATAATTATTTAAAAAAAAAAAGAATTATTTTACTCAAATTTATTTATTTATTTATTTCCATTTGACCAGAGAGAGAGAGATCGAGGGAGAAAGCAAGCCACCAGGTCTGGGATTCAAACCGTGGTCAGCCATGTGGGAGTCCAGAGCCCCTAACCACCACGCCACCTACTAGCCCCTATTATTATTTATTATTATTTTTAATTTGCTACAGGACATGTGTACTCGCCAGAGAAAGAGACAGAGAGAAGGAGAGAGAGAAAGTGAGGAAACGAGCCACCAGATCCGGGACCCAAACGGGTTGTCCTCGTGGGAGTCCAGGACCTTACCCACCATGCTACCTGTGCCTCTATGGGCCCTGTGTCTTATTTGCAGGGTCTCCTGCTACCTGTGCCTCTATGGGCCCTGTGTCTTTTTTGTCTGAGAGAAGTTGGAGATAAGAGGAGGGTGCTGTCAGGCAGCCCAGCCATGGCGTACTCCGCCACCAGATGCTCCCGTGCCACGTCCACAAGCAGTGGACACTCAGTCCCATCCCTCGTCCCTGGGAGGGCATGTTCTTCCCCAGCTTGGGCCGGTTCCAGGTGACCAGGAGACTGTCAGGCCTGTGGCTCTTCAGCGCCCATGTAGGTCTGGCGTTGTCCCTTTGTCCCACAGGGACCGCAGGCCCGTGGCGAGAGCCCGCGCCTCTGCAGTTTCTGCTGAGGCTCCTTTTCCTGGCATCGTTTGTCTGCAGCAGCTGGGCTGCAGCCAGGGCCCCGGGGGAGCTGTGCACTGGCTGAGTGTCATTGCTGGCGTTCGTGCTGAGGAGGCCTCTCTGCCTCTCCTCGTCCTCTACCCCTTCATGCCCAGGGAGTGAGGCCCATCCTCCCCACATTTCCAGGCCTGGGCCTGAGGGTCAGTGAGCGCCGACAGCCTAGGGTCGATGACCGCCTTCTAACGCAGTGACCTCAGGCGGGGCCTCTGGGCTGCCCCCTGCCGGATCTTGGGTACCAGGTGATGCAGAGAAGGGGAGTTTGTCTCTTTACCTTCTAGGGGTGAGGCACCACCCCCATTCTTCACTTTCTCCCGCTCTGTCTCTCTTTTTTAAACTTGTTACAAGGTGTGTGTGTTCACTGGGTAGAGAGAGAGAGAGATGAAGTGAGAAAGCATCCCCCCCATGGGAGGTGGTCATGCCACGTGTCTTCTTCATTTTTCTCTCCTTTCTTTCTTTTTTTTTTTTTTTTTTTCTATTTTTTAAAAAATTTTT